TAGTTTATTTCTCATGACTAACAAAACTAATTTGCAGATTCTATTAAGCTAATTTTGGATTTGGCAATCTGTTCATTTACAAATTAATTAGTATGAGAGTATTGCTAGATCTTTGATTGTAATTGTAAAGAAAAGGGAATATATATTTCATAGATTTTTATTTTATATTAACATTTTTCTACCTGTGCTAAAAAATAGATCACTTAATTGTGATCTTAAGAATAGCATTAGGAAAATGGTGGATGATTTGAGTCTCATGTATATGAGGGTCTAGTGAAAATCTTTTGAACTTATGCGACAGATGATTAGATTGCTATCGCTTTGAGTATCTGTTCTATTTCATCATCTGACCTTTCATGATTTTCTTTCTTGGCTATAAGGTAGTAGAGTGTATATAGTTCCTCAAGACTAACATTTAAATCTTCATCTGCATATCTATTTCAATAATTTTCTAGCCTTATAGTATATGCCTCTTCGTTAGGAAACATCTTAACTGTGACTGTCTTAATATAGTTATTTAGATTCTTTTTAGCTCGCAGTTTTTTTAGATAGTCTCCATAGTTTTTTACAAGATTATCATATTTTTTGTCCTTTCATAATGCAGTTTTTATGACTTTGACTTGCACAAGTTCTATATCCTTATGATTAAACATTTTTGTATTGTTTCTACTATAACGATAGAAAAACTTTAATTAATAAAATTATATTCTTTGATAATTTTTTAGCTAGAAAAAATATTTGTTATAAAGCATCTATTCCTTGACACGAAGTCTAACTTTTATAGCCCTTTCTTCTGCTTCCTCAGGAGCTATTTCGGATGCTACCAGATATTATATAGTCCAATTTGCCAATGTCTATATGGGAGAGTTCGAATTCCATCAAGTAAGATCCAGCACTTGTTATCATATGGATTCAGCTCTATCTTATTTACCCTCTCAAAATAAATTTGATGATTGTAATTTCAGAGGCCATACATATTATGCTGAGTTAGTTTCTTATTCCTAAGACATTCTAGAAATTTATCATATCAAAGCT